TTAATAAATCCTAGATTCTAATCTAAAACCATCTTCACAAATCCTAGATTTTATCCTTAAACCTCCTTCATAGATCCTAGATTCCAATCTAAAACCTCTTTGTAAATCCTAGATTCTAATCTAAAACCTCATTCATAAATCCTAGATTCTTAACTAAAACCTCCATTATAAATCCTAGATTCTAATCTTAAACCTCCTTTGTAAATCCTAGATTCTAATCTAAAACCTCCTTCATAATTCCTAGATTCATCAGAAACGTCATATGAACTTAAAATTCATTTATTTTCCTAGAACCTTGATACGTAATTTATATGTATACATAAATAAAACTATAAAGCAATAATCAGAGCAGTTTCTCAGTTTTCATATTTATTAATACAAATTATTTCGGATTGCTCCTCTTCAGTTAATAAACATGGTTAAATCAAATCTATTTATCCTTTTTTACTCTACCCTCATGTAATAAATAAGAAGAAAACAGAATAAATAAATAATAAAGGACAAGGAACTATATCGATCCAGGGGATTTTTACATTTGATAATTAACAATCATGTCGGTAGAGTATTGATCTTTTTTATTATTTCCCCCTAAATCGACCATCCCCCCCCCCCCCCTCCCCTGGCAGTATTTGGTCTGGGGAAATCTAAGGAAGGGAATTTAAACAATAAATTGTTGAAGGGAATGGGGTTGGAGACAGATCAAGCATTACGACACATCTTTAATCCCAACAGGTTTGTCTGTGGCAAAGACTCAACTCCTTTCTACAGTTTTTAGCTTTTCCTATATATTCTGTAGACGGTTTAAGACTGCTTTTAATGAGCTTTGAAGTTAACTTGAACTCAGCTTTAAAACCTACTTCAGCTTAGCTTTAAGATTATCTTGAACTCAAGACTTTGAAACCTACTTCAGTTCAGTTTTACTTCTCTGGAAATAAATATAAAGATATATGTATAGAATACATGAAAATACCTTTTACATGGATTAAAATAAAACTAGTTACAACGAAAAATACTTGGAATTCGTGGAAAAGGCGGATATAAATCTATTATTTAGTATTCATGGAATACTATATGATAAGTAGAATAATTCTAAGCACAGGAAAAATATTTAATTTAAAGACCAAACAGACATATGATACATAAAATATCAACTACTGATATTTATTATATATTAAATATAAATATCTCTGCATATATCAGGAACACAGGTAATGAATAATAACCCGTCAAATCATTTCCCCTTCTAAGTATTTCTCACATTAGACAATAATTAAAAATCAATCATCATAAATAATTCATGCAGATTGCAGACATTTTTTTATTTTCTCTTTAATTTGAAGTATAAAAGGACGTACACATTTTCATTTTGAATTTATATAATTTATTTTAAGACGATTCAACTGGGTATGGCTCGGCGCTTCTTAAAGTACTCAGAGATACAGGGTGAGAGAGAAAATGGCAAACTAGAGAAACTTTAGCCAGGGGTGTATATCCCCAGCATACACCCTGCATACAAATGGAAAAGAAATAAACGAAACTACAAGAAACATTGGAGGCCTGCATTAATCTTTTAACGCTGTATTAACCTGGAGAATGGAGGTTTTTTACCTAGCTGGATCCAGATTTTGCTACTGGCAGCTTTAGATATACTCCTTAAGAACAAGCCTGGTTAGCTGTTATTAAGTATCCGAACTCATTGGAAAGACATTAATTCTTTCGATTGAACCTGTTTCTATGTATAAGCATCAAGGGAAAAGATTGCTGTAGACGAGGCCGTATTCTGAAGCACTGTGTCCGAGATGAACTTACAAGAATCAAGAATTCTTTTGCTTAAAATACCCACTCCTAGCCTAACCTTTCTTATCCCATTTGTCATTATTAAGGTGGAATTCTGACAATGGGCATCCTCAGAATTTTCAGTGACTTTTATTTTTTCAACCTGTAAGAATATTGAAGATAATTGTTTTTGAAGCTAACCTTCAACAGTTGTTGAGTCAGACATTCCTGGATCAGAAAACAATACTGAAAACTGAAAATACATCTGATATCTACTCACATACAGTAACTTTCTATTATACTTAATTTGATATTTCTGGCACCAAGATATCAAAGTAAAGAATAGTATGAAAAAGAAAATTGCTAAAAAGAGAGCTGCAGCTCTGGGAAATATCACAATATTAGGGAGAAACAAAAGCAGAAATATGTGTCAAAACGTATATCTCCTTTGTCTACAAGGGATTAGAATGCGTAGATCTACAAAAGAGGAACAGAAAACAGATGTATGGTCAGATAAAAACAAGATATAACACTCGGAGAAAAAAATTCACTGCTCTTTTTTTAAATTTTGTATTAAAAAAATTTATTTTAAAATATGTTGTTAAAAAATTTCAAAGGCAATTCTTGTTTTTAGAAGTCAATTATTTTACGTATTCGTGGTTAAGTTTATGGATCTGTTTGTATCAGATTCAGGGTTGATAATCTGTCTATTCATCTCTAAATATTGACACATCACTTAAAAGATTAAACAGATTAAAATAGACGAGGAACAACACAGAATTAAAATCCTCATTGAAATATCACTGTTGTAATCAGTTTGATATTGATTATTTTCTGTGCTATAATCCCTGTGTGATAATCGTACCAGGATACAGACGGAAGCTGAGAAAAGCCGGAGCTGAGACGAGTTTGCAGGATCGATAATCCTAGTAAGGTTGGGAAACTAAGGAAACATAATTCAATGCTCAGGATAACAAACAGAAAACAAACATAAAGGATTTGATTTTTTGCCACAAACTCTGCTTTTCTAAACCTATATCTTTGGATTCCAATGTCGTAGACCTTATATATTTCAAACTGTGAATTCTGTTAGATGAAATAATATAAGTTTGAAATATTAAAGATTTACGACATTGGGTTTTAAAGATATAGGGATTATAAATTCCGAGTTTGTGGCAAAGACTCAATTCCTTTCCACTTTACTTTAAGACTGGGTGGGTGACATTGTGCGATTATAAAAAAATGTTATAGGCCGAATTTAAAGAATTTGAGCCGCGGTTTAAAATTTAGCCGCGGCTCAAATTTTGTTGGTTCCACTTAAAATTTTCACGATTTAAGCCGGCGCTCAATTGAAACCGGTTTTTGGGGGATTTTAGACACGGCGTAAATTCATAAAATTCGGACATTGAAGTGTAAAACTATAAGAGTGGTGGGGGCCGGGGGGGGGGGGCTAATCACTCACTCTCATAAAATACCGAATAAAGGAACTGAACACTTGTCACAAACTCTATCATTCTAATATTAATATCTTGAGTACCTGATGCAATTACACCGTGAAATTCAAATTATAGCTTGTGTTGAAGTATAAAATATAAAAGGTTTTCATCATCAGATTGAAAAGTGAAAAGGATTTGAAAATTAAAGTTTGTGGTAATTAATCAGTTCTTTTCATACTTAACAATAAAAAATAATCATATTTAGTTAATAAGAAAAAAAGTTAAGCATTCTCCTCTTGATGTATGACAGTTATTTTTTAGATTTAACTTATATGCAGAATACTATATTTACATTACATAATTTCTCGATTCCGGCATATTTAGAATAAGAATAGTTCACAACATGGATAAGGTAATGGAATATATTTGTTATTTACTCTTGATATATCTAGAATAGGAATACTAGGATTAACCTATATATATTTGAATATATTCACTCTAGGTATATTTAGAACTGTGTTAAACCATTAGAATATATTAAGAATAGAAACTGTGGACCACTAGGATCAACTATTAGAATATATTTAGAATAGAAACAGTAGACCACTAGGATCAACTATTAGAATATATTTAGAATAGAAACAGTGGACCACTAGGATCAACTATAAGAATATATTTAGATTAGAAACAGTGGACCACTATGATAAACTATTAGAATATATTTACATTAGAAACAGTGGACCACTAGGATCAACTATTAGAATACATTTAGAATAGAAACAGTAGACCACTAGGATCAACTATTAGAATATATTTAGAATAGAAACAGTAGACCACTAGGATTAACTATTAGAATATATTTAGAATAGAAACAGTGGACCACTAGGATCAACTATAAGAATATATTTAGAATAGAAACAGTGGACCACTAGGATAAACTATTAGAATATATTACTTCTAACCCTTTCTCTGGAACCCTATCTGTTCTTTACATGAATTTAACCAATAAAGTAGAACATGGAACTCTGGGGAATTTACTAAACCTTATTTACTCCGGATATCTGTAGAATTGGGCGAGTATATTCTGCAGAAACTAGAGACCATTATATTAACCTATAAATCTGACCATGGCAGAGTGTCTGAAAGGATAATTGTTGGTTACAGTATTGAAGGAGAAACCGGTATTATATATTCCACTGAACCTGGCTGCAAGGTTGGATTGTATACTTTAACTGGGGTTTAAACTCAGTTCCAGGTCCACCGGATTTTTGCTCCGGGATATCCCAGGACCACAAGCTTTTCAATCTTGGAACCCTGAATTTTATGCTTTAATATATCCAACTATTAAAAAAACTTTAACAATTTACTTTTTAAAGTTTTGAAATAGTAAATTTTGCTTCAAAACTACAAACATAAGTTTAAACCTGCTAACCATAAAAATAAAATTTCTCTGCAAACTAATCCAACCCAGCTCCATAAAACCTTAACCAACTTCGAAAACACGGACTCAGAAATTTAACATTCTACATTTTATAGTTTTTAAATAAATGCTTGTTTTTTTATACTAAATCTATTTCAGAAATATCAGAAATATTTACCATGAACATTTTGATCTATTTTTCCTTGAATATATTCTATAAGATCTGCAGTTCTATATAGATGTATGTATCTGTGTGGATGTATGTGTTGTGTAGTGTATACTGTAAACCAAAGTAATATCCGGCGTCTTCTGAAGCATAAAACATGTAAACAAACATAGTTTGCGTAGATAAAACTCAATTATCTCACCTTAAATCAGATTGGAGACGGAGAATATTTATTCACTGGATTCACGTGTCCAAATCACCATATTTTCTACAGAACAGTTTTATTGTTGTTTTTGTTTAGATTTAAACTCCAGGTCCGATGGGAGGTAGTGACTAGGGTCTGGTAAGTACTGGGTGTGGACGCTACCAGGAGCTGACGCTTTCTACCCGGCTAGCGTAGCTCTCTCTCTCTTACTCTCTCTCTCACTCTAACAAATGACTCTGTCTCTAATTATCCTTCTGACACACGCGCCAGATGCACACAACGTTGTAGTTGTGTTTTTATGTGAACCTTTACATATACAATATTACTTGTAATGTTTGGAGCCAGGACGAGAAACTAGGATTGGAGAGAAGATGGATTCTGGAGCTCCGTAGGGAGTGGTTTCTCCGTCCTCTATAGTGAGAGGCCAGGGAGCCGGCTAGGAGGATCGATACCAGATTTTAGCAAGAGGAGAGAACCTGAGAGAGGGAGAGAGAGATGTTGAGAGAAGAAAGGTTATCTACCCCTCTCTCTTTCTCTCTAGGCAACCAGACAATTTATTTCTTTGAATAGGATAAGAGTTAAACTAAAAACCAGAACGGAAAAAAATAGAAAATTATACCATACCATGTGCTGTTAAAAAAGTAAACTGATAATTTAATTAACAAGATTTTGTGCTTTCCTTTCTGGTTAAAAATATAAATTTTCCTCTAAATTGATACCGTAATCTATATATAAATTTGGCTTGTCTGTCTGTCTGTTTGTCTGTCTGTTTGTTTGTGTCCAATAAACGTCAAAACGGCTGAACTGATCAGGCCCAAATTTTTTGTGGGACATCTAGGGACCCCAGGGAAGGTTTATGAATGATCAAAATTTCAAATATTTGTCTCCATCAAAATTCGATCTTCATTAAATTGTTGAAAATTTTGAAAATCCACGAATTTTTTTGTGAAAATCCGCGAATTATTTTTGTATTGTTTTACGATGTACACAAAGAGAACATGTTCACAATTAATTTAGAAGATGGGCGCGAAGCGCCCTCTAAGGCTAAATTATTTTTGTTTTGTTTTACGATGTACACAAAGAGAACATGTTCACAATTAATTTAGAAGAGGGGCGCGAAGCGCCCTCTAAGGCTAGTTTTTATATATTTTTTTTGTAAATTGAGTCTAGATGTTTCGAATTTAAATTATTCAAATTAGATGTATACTTATTTCCGTTGTCATTCAATTTCAACACTTTGGATGCTTTGACTGTGTAGTAAAGCATCAAAAGCAAATCACTTTTGATGCTTTACTTACTCTTTTAGAGAAAATATGAACTTTTCAGTCAAATTATGACTTAATAAACTAAGAATTAGGAAGCATTGCTTTTCCTTGTCCTTTTCGGATGAATTTAACACCACATATATTTCCTCATCAGTTGTAAAAAAGATGAAAAATCATTTTTGATGCTTTTAAGAAAAACCTTAGAAAGGGCAAGCTTTGGCAAGAGAGGAAGAAGTACAGATGCCATACTCCCCCCCCCCTCCCTCCTTTTTGGATAAAATGACTCAGGATATCCAAATTGCCAAATTTCTCAGTAGTTTGCTGAAAATGGCAAAAAGTTAATGGCCTCAAATTAGATGTTAATGGACTCTAAGTCCCTTTTCTAACGCTGTACTACACTTTAAAAAAAAGACTGTTGGAAATCTAAATCTTAATATAAACAGAAAAAAACATTGATAGGGAATGCTTACTTTGACATTCTTTTTGACTAGGCAACAAACATCGTGACTTAGAGTTGTGACATAGAATCTGTCTTAACATCATAAAGTCTAAAAAAGAACTGAGATATGTTTGTGACTCAAGTTACAATGATGACTTTAAATATTTAAAGTCACAATTGTATCTAAGTCATACTATTAAACAAAATTGAACCAGAAAAATAAGACTTAAAAATTATTGTGACTCATAATTTGAGAGTTAGAAAGAGTTTTAGACATAAATTTGACTCCAAAAACAGGCTTAGTCATATTTTGCTTGTGACTGAGAATGTGTGTTAGACATGGCTAAGCCTTGCAAAACATGAATTGACTTAGGTATAATTTTGTCTCAGAGTTATGGTTTAGAAAGTATTTTAGATATTTTAGGGTCTGAAAAGTATGGCTGTGAGGTAATTACGACTTAGAACTGTGACATACAATTTGTATTATACATAATTGAGCCCAAAAAAATGTGACTCAGAAAGTGTCTAACACAAAGCTGTGACTTAGAATTTTGACTTAGAAAGTGTCTTAGACACAAATTGGTCTGAAAAGTAAGACTTTGAAATTATTTTGACTTAGAACTAAGACTTAGTATGGGACTTGAATATAATTAAGCCAGACAACTGTGACTTAGATATAAGTGTGACTGAAACGGTGTTTCAGACCTTATTCAGACTTAGAATTGAGACAATGAAGCCTAAAAGACATGACTCAGCCAAAGTTTTGAGCAAGAACTGAGTCTTACAATGTGTTTAAGACATATTTGTTACTTAGAAAGTGTTTTAGAATGTGTTTAATGGATATTTTTGACTGTCTTAGACATAATTGTGACTTAGAAAGTGTCTCAGACATTAGCATGTCTCCAAAGTAAGAATTTTTCTTAGAATTGTGACTTAGAATTGTGATTAAGATAGTGCCTTAGACATAATTTGGTCTCAAAAGTATGACTTTAATGTAATTGTGACTTAAAACTGCGATTTGGAACATGCATTGGAATAAGTCTTTGCCAAAGTTATGACTTATTAAGCTTCTCAGACATAACATAACAAGGCTGAATTTACTCTGGATTGAATGATTTGATTTTACTGGTACGACTTTGTGACCTCGTAGCTCCTTTAGTTTTTATTTTACTGGTACGACGTTGTGACTTCGTAGCTCTTTCAGATTTGATTTTACTGGTAAGACTTTGAGACCTCGTAGCTCTTTCAGTTTTGATTTTACTGGTACGACTTTGAGACCTCGTAGCTCTTTCAGTTTTGATTTTACTGGTAAGACTTTGAGACCTCGTAGCTCCTCAAGTTTTGATTTTACTTTTACGACTTTGTGTCTTCGTAGCTTCTCAAGTTTTGGTTTTACTTGTACTCCTTCATTTTTTTTGGCGGACCACAGTATCAAAAGATTTTTTTTGGGGACCACCATCAAAAGATATTTTTGGGGGAGCACTGGTTTAACAGATTTTTTTGGGGCCCACTGTATCTAAAGATTTTTTTTGGACCATTGTATCATTAAATTTTTTTGGGGGACCACTATCAAAAGATTTTTTGTTTTGGACGATTGTATCAAAATATTTTTTTGGGGGACAACTATATCAAAAGATTTTTTGGGGGACCACTGTTTCGAAAGATTTTTTGGAAGGATTCAAAAGATTTTTGGGGACCACTTTATTAAAAGATTTTTTTGGGGTCCCCCAACAGTTTTTTTTTGGGGGACCACTGTATCAACAGATTATTTTCGGGACCACTGTATCAAAAATTTTTTTGGGAACCATTGTATCAAAAGATAAGTTTTAGGGACCACTGTATCAAAATATGTTTCCGGGGACCCTTGTATCAAAAGCTGTCTTTTGGGGACCACTGTGTCAAAAGATGTTTTTTTGATGTAATTGTGACTTAGAACTGTGACTTAAAATATGTGACCGGCATAAATTACCCCCCCCCCCCCTATACTTCCACCCCATTATTCAGTACAAAATATACCAAAGGGTTTTATATTCCAAAATAAAAGAATCATTTTAACAGGGAAAAACTGGAATTTTACAAATATTGTCTTGCACAGCTGTATCAGTGACGCGGACAGTTTTGATGCTTTAACATTTTCAAAAAAGAACATTTGTGATGCTTTCCAACAGTTTAATTGTATTTAAAGATTTCCAAGGGTTTGGTTATGCTAGGTTACTTTTCTGAATTGATGATATATAGATTTTGCATTGATAAAGCAATAATTTTCTGAGCAATGATATCTATAACGATATGATAGAAGTATATTTATATACTTTTCACGTATGTTAGTAGTACATATTATAGATTTAAAGAGATATCAAGAACTCAAGTTAGTTTCTCAGGATTGTTTATATTTTCCCGTAAAAAGAGAAGTTTACAATGTTATGATGTTGACATAAGAAATATAAATAGATATAAAACAGAACCTTGTTCAGTTATATAGGTCTAGTACAGTGTTGGAAGTTAATTATCTAGGTCTAGAGCTTATATAGTTTTAGTCCGATCATACATATGTTATTTCTAACTCAAAAATTCTAGTTTTTTATATTATAAAAAAGTTCTAGTTTCAGTTCTAGTTCTAGTAGTTTCACAAAGTTCTTCTTCTAGCTCTAGCTCGAACCGTTATAGTTCAAGTCTTTTAGTTCTAATTTGCTTCAAGTTCTTGCTCTGGCTCTAATAGCTATAGATTTAGTTCTAGTTCCAGATAATTTGATATATAGTTATATTTCTAGTTCGAGTCATAGATAAAGATAGATTGCGCATAAGACGACATTTTTCATCTTGAACGATATAAATGTACAGAGATGTTTTAAAGATATTCCTATTATTTACAGGGTGTCCCACATCAAATTAGACCGCGTCAATGGGTCTAAATTACGATTTGGGGGACAAATCAGAAAATTTAAGAAGAATGAATCATTTTAAAAAATTTAATAAGGCTAATAGAAAATTTTTTTGGCAGAAAATGCTAGATATTTCGCGTATTATGTGCGTATTTTGGCGTTAAAGATTGTTGATAATCTAATATGATATGGGACGCTCTGTAGATTAACTAGGTCGGTTGTGAACATTGGCTGTTCTTATGTCATTGAGTACTTGTGGTGTACATGAGTTCTGTAGAGAGAAATTTAACTTAGTTTAGTCCTTCTCATGTCCTTCTTCAGTTCTCGTCAATATGATATATTGCTCAGTGAAATATTGTTGTTCAAATAGTTCCATTCCCCCTATTTTACACTCTATTATGAAATCCATTAAAACGCCAAACCACCCAAATCATTGAAGTACACTTTGACCCCTAGGAGTATGAGTTACTGTACAATTCTTGGTGATTTTGCCTACATAAGCTATCTATGTTTATTTATTTATCTATGGTTCTAATAAGTTTGAAAAGACGAAGAAATCTAAGATACAGGGTGTCCCAAAAAACATGGGAATTCAGTGACGAATTCGATATCGTCTTTTCAAATAATTCTTCGATTTAGTATAGTGATACCTACTGAGAAAGCTGTAATCTGTAAGAGTTTCGTCTGCTATGTTTACATTTTGTTTGTTTATGTTTTGACTGCAACCGGTTGTACTTAGTAAAACAAGAAAATTACAGCATACAAACAGAGTAAACTTGTCCGTATTCACTGTTCATCTTGCGGAGACATTATAGACACATCTTTGTA